ATGAATAAAACACCCAAATTGGTTTGCGAGCCAATTAGTTTTGAGTTCTAGGAAAATCTTGTTATTGTTGTTTTGGGGTTTGTTTGTTTTTTCAAGGATGAACAAATGGGACACAGGAAGTTAATTAGCGAGCTTCTGATGGAGCCGGGCCAACTCTTTATCCCCTATGTTTAGGCTTTGTTAAAGACAAGGTATCTGTTTGGCTGGTAGGTAACAGATATAATTCTCTGACATCTTAACCTGAGGTCAGAGTGAAAGGTAAGGGTTGAATATCCCAGCTGATGGTGGGCAAAAGGCAGGGACCGCCCAGTTCAGCTTGTATATATAAACTATTGAACGAATTAAGATCGAGGTTTGAAGTTTTTAAAATTCAACGTGTTTGAACTTTTGTTCAAACAGACAATAAAATATCTGATCAGACGAGAGTTTCTAAAGTCAGATTTTTAAATGATCGTCTAACATGCACATCAATAGCCTTACAAATGTGACAAGCTGTACGGTCTCTACGGATGTCATTAAGACTTCGTGGGGATTTATGCTTGAGTGCGTAATTAACTCCGTAGCTGTGTCGTAACGCTAACCCCCCTGGAAGTGTAGCTAAACGTCAGGTCGACGTAACCCGAAACTACTGCGATTGGCCTGTTCAGTACTCGATTCCTCCTGTGCCACCCCTGCTGGACGGGTCGGTGGGCGGGCTGCGTGGACACCCAAGTTAACACCCAACTGGTTCAAGCTCAAGGTCAGAGGTCACCTTTATACTGACACCTCATTTTATATCAATAAAGATGTTGTTTGACGACCATTCGAATAGGTTTGGGGGTTTTCCAAAGGTAGCTGCACAGGTAGAGACAGCCGCCACTAACTTCTGTTGCACATCCAGTCATTTTATTCCACATCCTGTCAGGGTTCCTGGGTCGTTGACCCAGTATTTTCAGTTCATGTTCACTGTTTATCCTCTGTACGTTCCACTTCCTGTTTTGTGTTAGCGTTACTCTGTGTGCATTATGTTCTAGTTCTTATTCCATGCATCGTTAGTTCAATTGTGTTCAGCTGCTCACTCACCTGTCACCTATCAGTCATTGTTCAGCCAGTTTATTTAGGTCCTCAGTTCTCTCCTGGTCGGCGTCGCGTCATTGACGTTGTCACTGCTATCTATGCCCCATGTTTGCCTTCCAAGTTCAGATCAGTCAGCCATTCATTCAGTTATCCAGTCCGTCAGCCATCCCCTGTTTTCGTCATTCGTCCCTCACAATAAACACCCTGAATCTTCACCGTGAGTCCTGCGTTTGAGTCCTCTTCTCCACATCCACTCAGCAACCCCTGACACATCCAGGCCTGAGACGTGACAGAAACCACTCGGTTCAGAAAAGAGCTTAAAGGGTTACTCCTAGTAGGCTTTCACAGGATAAAGAGCTAGTAACTGTGTAAAGTACCATGTTGGTCAGTAATAGCTGTTCTGCACACGGAGCAACATTAGCATTAATGATTTTGTTTTTGTCCATATCATCAGTGTGCATCCACTATTCACTCTCCTTCTAGCTGTTTTCTGAGAGTCCTGGTGTGTTTATACTGTTTGAGCTGTTAAATGTACCAGCTTTACTGAACACGTAGCAGAAAGTGGCTTTTCTGAGAGTTTCTTACTGAAATCCGTTGCCGAATGCCAGGAAACAGTCTTGACGAGAGAGCAGTAAGAATTTAATGAAGTAAAAGAAATGTGACTTTACAGCCCATAAAAACTTGCCAGTTTTTTTAAACATACTAAAAGG